ATATAAAGCTATCCTTGAGATATCGACTTCTCGCACTATTAAGGGTCTCTCTAGCAGTGCGAGAATAGAGATCCTATTTATCTCTTTCTATATATACCTATTAGGGGTAGACTTGGTATTGGGGTCCGTCTTGGCATTGGGGTCCGCCTTGGTATTAGGGTCCGCCTTGGCATTGGGGTCCGTCTTGGCATTGGGGTCCGCCTTGGCATTGGGGTCCGCCTTGGTATTGGGGGCCGTTCACCCCATGGGGTGTTGTCGGCCGGGAAGCGTATTGTAACAGTCATTGTAACAGCCCTGCTTCCCGGGTGACAGACAGGCGGAATGATAGGGAGACGCGACGTGTACAGCGCGTGAGTCGCTATCAGGAGAAAGGGTCGCCAGAGCGAATGCAACATAGGGACCACGCTCCGTCTTGCACGGAGGGTTTGGGTTGCGAGAGATTGCATCCACCGTCGTTGCAAGGAGTCCCAGTTTCGAACCTTGGGTTCCCAAAACTGTACCCTCGCGCATAGTCGTGTAAACTTTCCACATCCTCAGAGAGAGATACCTAAGAACTCTGGCGTGAGTATCCAATGACAGAGGGCCCCAGAAACGGGACTGAGCACGACTAATGAGAAGGTTGAGGAGGGTGAGCGGCTGCCTGAGCAGGTTGAGCAGCTCAGGTTGAGGCTGAGCCGGAGTTGAGCCAGGTCACAGGATGCTTAAGTAAAGCGGCAGGCCACCGTCCCAAACGGGTCCCAAGACCCGGCGCTTTGTCGCCGCTGAATACCAAATGATGCACTGCTTGGGCGGTGTCGCAAGTCTTTACCCAGGGCGACAGCATCGTAGCAACTCAAATTTATGATAGCCCGCCACGCCACTTTAAAGGCCATGGCGTTCCCCTGGGCCTCAACCCGTTAGGTGCATTTTATGCAGCTGTCTGCTATTTCTTGATGAAGAAAGAGAACAAAAAGGGATATCAAATGGCACAGGACTGGAGTTTGCGAGAGAAACAAGACCCAGGTGACGCCAGGACTTTCGAAGAGCTGTGTTACTATCACCCCCAGTTCCGATACAAACTCTAAATACGGCCGGAGACGACTGCTCGATGGATCTAGCTTTTTAGCCTAAGGATCGGTGTCGATAGTTTCCGCGCCCCCGGAGCCATTGGGTGGCGGAACCCGGCGGCGAGTTTAGAGGCCGCCAAGACCTGTAGATATTCCCGAATAATTACTATGACTCCTTCCCATTCATAGCCAAACTCTACCCACTATTTCTTAAGCTATCTTCAATGTTGTTGAGCGGCAGGCAGATCTGCTCACAGACTGACGCATTGCAAGAAATACCATCAGCCTGGTGACACTAGAGTCAGCAACTCTCGAACTCAAGCCTCAATAACTGAGCACCTGTCCGTACGGTGAGGTGTGACCTATTGTGGAACCTAAACATGGCTGAGGGCTTAGGGAGAGTGCGATCATGTTCCGAGTGTCGCATTCAGAAGGTGCGCACATATTGGCTCTCGTACTTGACCAAAATTTATCTGATTCCTCGTCAGCTCAAGCGCGGCGCTCGCGGAGGCTATCGGAAACCATGCACAAGGTGCAGAAAGTAGAACCTTGCATGTGAGCTGTCTCGTGGGGCCAAGAAAAGCCAGAGGAGGACGTAAGTCTTCGTGCCTTGATAATGCTAATTCATCTCTAACTTGGGCAACAGAAAAGCCCAGCTGGTCCAAGAGAACGCGAGGCTGCAAGAGCAGTTACAAGACTACAAATCCTCCTCAGGTCAATCAGACACTCATGCAAGGACTCCTTCCCCGCAAAACGCGAAAGCGACGCCTTCAGTATCTCAACCACAATCCATCTCTCAAACAAGCCGTGGCGACCAAGTTTCAGATATATCAAGCCACACCGGCCACGACTTTACACTATCGAGTGATCAACAAGGCGTTTCGCCAATAGAAATGAATGGCTTCCAGATAACACCGATATCCCTCAAAACTGACCACATTGTCCAACGCAAAATGGTTGATTGTTTGGCGCTGTATGTCTCCTTCCCTTCCAGCTTCGCCCTGGCAGCTGTCTTATACCGAGTATCTTCCTCGCACACAAGGAGCGTTTCGTTCCGGGGCTGTTGGATCCCACCATAGCACCTGAGCAACACTACGAGCGGTCTCATTTTCTCTTCTGGTCGATCGTTGTGATAGGAGCTTACAGGTTCGCTGAAGACCCCACTCTCCTCCAGCGAGTGGTGTCTCAGGTCCTACAAATCGAACTGGGGATCTCAAGATGTTCTTTTCCAGAAATGCACCGGCGTGGCCATCAAAGCCTTCCACTTCTTTGCGGGACCTGACTCGGCACGAACTGCTGGACGAGTCCAACTGTACGATATGTGTTGCAACATGCTTGACATGCTCCATGGCCTCGATGTCGCTGACCATTTCGCCCTGCATTCAACCCAATGGCTGCACAGAATGATAATTGTAGCATCCCACAGCATCCTCAAGGCCACGCGCAGCGAGCTTCGAACTCACATCGACCTCGAAAACGCCGAAAGCACATGCTATACGGCCATTATATGAGAACAACGACCTAGATTCAAGATGTGCGATCATCTTGACGCAACTCTGGACCAGCGATGCTATATTTCGTCAGAGAAATGGGACTATGATGGGAAACCGTCTACGCATGAGAAGTCGACTGGTAAGCCTCGGGGCAGTGCCAGACGCTACCGGTTCAAATCTGACTGTTGCGATTAGTTTGCCAGCGTCATCTTCTACACCTTCGGCGCACAATGCATCAGCCCTTCAGGTTCCGATGCTTGACTTTAATGCCTTGAACACGTTTCCCGACTGGGAATGGGCCGCTGAAGTGCCCTTGACAGGCGTCATCGAACTCACCGCACTTTGCGGGCGCAGGAATTGGCTAAGCTGGACGGGATTCTTCAGCTCAATCCAGGGCTGGACAAGAGGATATTAGAATATGCCTTGAGCTCCTCTCCACTCAGCTGCCGTTCTCATTCCGATTATTAGCACTGTGGTTGAACTCCAGATGCTATACCCTTCCGCTGGCGCTCTCAATCCAGCGATCTGACGTACGTTCCCTTCACGGCCTTCAAAGGCAAGCTCTTCAGATGTATTCAACCAGCAGCAACTACGGGCCTTGCCCGTAAACAATAAGAACTTCCACCCATAAGTACTGCAGACAAAACTGCTCAGACGCTCGACTTGCTCGACTTCCGCCGTGGACCGTCGACGAGCACCGTAGCTAGACCGATGCGGAGATGAGCGCCCTTGGCATGGCCGATGTACGCACGGTGGCTGAACTCTACAGTACCGAAATCTCAGACTTGGACGTTTCCCCTGCCCGTCTTCTCGGTCATCGCTTGCGGCATCTCGACTCCCAGATTGTGTGTTTGAGTTGACAAAACATACTCTTTCCTTCCCTAATTCTGTGAGCTCGCTCGTAATAAACCTCCTGTGATCCAATCCTGATGAAGTGCGCTAGTGCGGAAGAGAGAAAGGAGTCTGCAGTTCAAAAAGTTTCATACGGTGACTAGTCGCTAAAGTTAGATATAACACGTGGCCAGCTCTGCTGCATAAGCACACGCCTTCGGATCGCGCGAAATCGACAATGTGTAATACGCTGCCAGTGAACCAGAGGGGCAGTAGCCATAAAGCTGTGGAGGCTTTGCTAGAGTCGAAAGCCACAGGTTCACACGTTGTTGCGCTACTCCGCCTTACGTTAGTGAAACCGTGCGGACAGATCGTGATTTGTCCCGGCGAACACTGTCGTTCGGGAGCATAGAAAATAGACAACCTGCCGCGCTCCTCTTCGAATGGGCACTCGTCCAGAATGAATCAGACGATGGACAGGAGAAACGTTTCACTTATGAGACCATCCCGCCGACATTCCGCACTCACATCATGATGGGTCTTGCAGTCGACCAGCTTATGCCAAGGGTATATACCACCGTGTTTTTTGCCCACGAAACAGACCAATATGAAAACGCCGTGAGAACGCTGAGCGAGGGCCTAGCCAAGGCCACGTTCCTCCTTCCATTTCCCAGGGGCTCTGTCAAGGATGCCTTATTAAAGATAGGCAGTACTCAGGGATGGATAGATTCCGTAGGAATAAGTATCCTTTACGTACAGCAACGACAAGACTTAAAGCTTAAGGGAGGTAAGCTTCCCGGGTGCGGGAAGTGTACCTTTTCTCCTATAGGCTTAGTAAGCCGAAAAGGCTTAGGGTCGTCCGAGGAGTCCCTTTACTCCGCTCTTCCTCCTGAGCAACGGTGGCGTATAGGGGTGCTTCACCCCTGCGAGTCACGTGCTCTTCTGCTCTGTTTGTGACAGGCTCTTTTCATAAGTCACCGAATGGCTGCCATCCGCGCAATCAGCTGTCATTATCGTGGTCGCCTCTGAATGCGCCGCCAACTATAGTCGAAATTCCCACCACCTACTCCCTACCTAGCTTCGACGCGCCGAGGCCGGGTAAAGTACCGCTCTCGATTTTCCAAGAACGCCTCTATCATGTACCGATGGTCATCAACTACCAGTCTCTAAGAGCAAGAGTGTCAGAGAGCTTAGGGTGGGATCGTTAGACGAAGAGTCAGAGGGTTGAACACGTATCTTGATTATATAGCTGTCCTTAAGACATCGACTTCTCGCACTATTAAGGGCCTCTTCAGTAGTGCGAGAATAGAGGTCCTATTTATCTCTTTCTATATATACCTTGCGGGGGCCGCCTTAGTACTTAGGGGCCGTTAGCCCTATAGGGGCTTTTCGCCCTATAGGGGCTACTCGCCCTAATCGCCCTATGGGGGCCACTCGCCCCATGGGGTGTTGTCGGCCGGGAAGCCCGGGTGACAAAGAGCTCCAACCCTTGTTACTGGAGCTATTTGCCTGGTAGGGGGACTGAAACTATGTCTACGCGCTCACCACGTGACCATAGACAGAGTAAGAATGGGCATGTTACTTAAGCTCTAGGGTGAGTGCGCGAGAGACGAGCCGAACCGTGCTGCCGGTAACCTACCGTCCGTATCGGAAGAACTCTACTAGAGAAAGCCCTGGCAGCGGGACGCCGGCGGTTGTTTTGCGAATATCGAGGCGAAAGCCACGCTTGAGGGGTTTGTCCTTCGACACGCAAAGTATAGCCTGCGAGTTGTTAACTCGGTTCTACCGTCTGTGCCGGCGAATCTCTCTAGCCAACTGATCCAGTGTGCCGCGAAGATCTTTGCTTTTTCATCTGCTAAGTTACGGGACACCAAGCGACCCATGAGCAGTTGAATTCCAGTCAAACACCTGACAGTTAACAACGTCCTTGGCGTTGGTAACTGGTTCTCCATCACATGCATACGAGATTGTAGCATTTGCGGAACAGCTCGCTGACGTTGAGGATATCGGGCCCGGGTGGAACTTTGCCATACTTTGGATCTGACATACACAAGCTGGGCAAATTTAGGCATGTGCGATTGCAATTTCGCCGACATTTTAGGCGGCAAGCCACGGCATATTAAGGTCCCACATATGCCCTATATTGACGGCACGATACTTTCCTTGCCAAGATGTAGGTTGGTGGATACTTTAAGTGGAAGAATACAGAGAGAATTGAGGTTGTTGTCATGCTCAACGAGCGAGACATGCAAGCGTTGTATGAGGACGAGATAATACGGAGCTAGAGTGCTTAATATATCATATAATTTCTCAGACGGTATGCAGAGCTCGTTACGATCCTGGGTGTTGCCGTATACAAGCCTATGGACGAGGATACGTTGATATTCTGGGGACACCGTGGCGTTGTGAGAAATTTTCAAGTTCAAACATCTAAGATAGGTAGTTGTGAATGGCCCGCAGGGGCGTAGGAGCGCTCACCGAGCCGCCAAATACATTCTCATAGCATTAGAGGGAGACACCTCAAGATACCTACAGCTCTGTAAGGACTCGAAAGCCACTGGCATGTCACGTTACGTATGTCCACATTGCTGCCTCCGAGATGGCTGGCTTCCAATAATCGATAACAGCCACCTTCCGGTTTCACGAAGGACGCGGACCCCAGAATCCGGCCACCAGCGTTCAGATACATCCTGGAGCATAGAAGACGCGAAATGTCATTGGAAGACTTCAAGCCTCTCTTTGCGTGTTTTTGAAATAGTAAAATGAAACTCATCGGGGAGTCACTTTGACTATGAAAAGATCAAATGTACCACGATCCCCTGCGATCAACCGTATGCTCTTCGAACACCTTCTCTGGCCTTCGCCGATGTCTAGTGTAATTGGACGGCCCTGATTGTATTTCTCTAGTGGTTCTAAGATCGTTTGCCCGGCCATTGGCGGTGAATTCACCCTCGTTTGAAACTGCACTGCGCAACCACGGTTCGGCGAGTTGCATGAGACCGGTGATTCTTGTACGAAAGCTAGGCAGAAGGTTATAGCCAGGTGGTGTTCTACTGCTGTCAGCGAGGGGAATAGACCGCCGATACCGTAGGGGAGCTGTCAAGGACATTGACATGCCCAAGCATTTGAGACTTTTCTACCACGAAGCTGTCGCCAAAATATCACACCTTACCTTGAGCTTTGAGGCAGGTACGACAAGCCAGGCGACCATGTCCCAATCGAATCCAGCGCCGGCCGCTTCGGTGCGAAATGTGTTGCACACTCTATGAAGTTTCGCAACCCATTTGTCACCCGGGCTCCCCGGCCGACAACATCCCATCAGGCGAATGGCCCCCATGGGCCCACCGGCCCCCAAGTGCCAAGGCGGCCCCCACGAGACACACACAGAAAGAGATAAATAGGACCTCTATTCTCGCACTGCTGGAGAAGCTCTCAACAGTGCGAGAAGTCGATGTCTCAAGGACAGCTTTATATAATCTAGATACGTGTCCAACCCTCTGACTCTTCGTCTAACGATCCCACCCCAAGGCTCTCTGACAGAACCGTACAGAAAGTTAACGCCCAATAGTCCGAAGAGACCCCATATCATTCCTTATTTCTATGGGATCGGCGCGCAGTTATATAAGATGAATACCCTAGGATTACACGTCGGTAGTGACGGTTTCATTCTCAGGGACGGGGAGGAGGTAACCTCCTGGAGCGGTAAGGACTGGAGCAGTCCAGAGGCTGTCGCGACCGGAAAGAAGATCTTTGGAGATGCCGACGACGAGAAGATAAGGAGCTTCCTGCAAGAGGTGCGGAAGCAGGCCTGGAGGCTTGTTCGGTACGGCTGGCACCGTCTCCGCCTGTAACGAGGTATAAATGACCAGGCCACGCTTCGTTCCAGAAGGAAACCCGATCCAGTGATCGTGTGAGGATGTAGTCATCCTCTAGCGGATATCCTCATGGGTTCTCTATCTTTCTTTGCGCCCCTCAAGCGGTCTGTCGTCCCAGCAGTCGGGGCACTTATCTTAGCACAACGCTTTCCCGAGTAGCCTCTCATATGCTACATCGCTCTTGCTGAATACATTTTCCTTGGTCTTTTTCTTTTGCGCGCTGCCCGAGTCGTCTCTGTTTTGCGGCCGCCTGGAGGTTGACCTCTTCTTCTTCACCCTCAGTGTTTGAGATGCTGTCAATGACAGCAAGCTCTTGGTGGAGACACTGGAGGATTGTTTGCGGATGGGACTGGGCACTTTGAAGCGGTCAGAGTAATTGCGCGAACGATAGTCCCAAGTTCAAGAGGAGTGGTCGAGGAGTGGTCCCGGTGCGGGCTTATCAATGAACTTCGTACGATTAGGCGCCCGGCTTGTCATATGTCTACTAAGCGCACATGGACTGGGTCTCGTGCAAATCCAGATGTCTCAGGTCGGAAGATGGGAAAGGTGGCTTTTACCAAGACGAGAATGTCATAGAACAGTGAGATGAGTATGAATGAAATCGAAGCTATCTACTTAATGAAAACCTTATGCCTGTCCAGTTCGCCACGTCGGCACGCACGATTATACCTGTCGTGATACCACTTCCGGGTTTTGTTGCGGATTGTACTGACATGCGACTTAGTCTTCTTCGCAGCCTGTTGAGCACACTCCAGAGCAGTCGGGAAGCGCTTACCCTTATCCTTTCTGTCCTGGATAAGCCTGTCCATCTGCACGAGGCAAGTGATCAGGTCAAACGTCGACTTGGGGCCAGGCTTCTTCCGCTTCTTCTCCTCAATCAGAGAATCGTCGACCTCCATATCCGATGAAGGCTGCTTCTCCTGGCTATCGTTTGTCGCTCCTTGAGAAAACCTCTCGTCGTCCCCTGTCGCCGACGGCGAAGAGAGGATAATTAGTTCGGGCTGGACTGCTTTGGGGCCTCGCCCCAGCGGCGCTGGCTGTCGTCTCGACGGAAGTGTTGACTGCTTCTGAGGAGCTTCGCAGAACTTTTCCATTACATTGACGAGGTCGTTGACACTGCCGTTCACGATCTGAGGGTTGAGCTTATCCGGAACGATGTCGTCCAAGAACTTGTAGTAGAGTCTGGAAATAAACGAGACGTGGTGCTTCTCGGTCTGAAGCACGATGACCGTCAGTTCTCCAGCGTCGAACTGTACCAGTACGTTGCTCAGATCGGTCCCATCTGGAACCCGGAACTTCAAATCGCGGCCTTTCTCAGACTTCCATCCACTTCTTTTAGTAGGCATGATTTTGGTAGTGCAAGCAATGAAATACCCTCCGGCCAAGCATTTCTCCGTCGCCTCACCGAAGTTGTCCTCGCTGTTGTTGAGTTCTTCGGGATAAATGAAAATGAACTTTTGAAGAGGTCAGCAGCGAAACCAGCGGATTCATGTTGCAGAGCATACCTTCTTCCCAAGCAGCTTCAACTCTTCGAGACGCTTCAGCTCAAGGTCACCGATCATTTTTGAGGCAGCCATGATAGCAGAAATGAGGACCGCAGCAGGTTCAGAATTCAGGAAAATGAAGATGATTGAACCTCGAAAAGTGGGCGAGGGACCGAACAAGTACGTGTACGGATTCCCTGCGCCCGATCGGGGCGCCGGTTGTCAGCGCTGAAACTAGGGGCCGGGCCCTTATCACATACTAAGCGTCTCAGGCAGGGGCTCAGCACGCCTCTGGGGGGCCAATGAGTTGCTTTATCATGACAAATATGGTTTCATTCGATACAGGATCGGCGGGGCTTTCCGTGCGCGGGTTACGTGCGCCAATTATTTGCGCCGGTTTGGCGCCTGGTGCCTGCGCCGGAAATTAGCGGCTGCACGCTGTCACACACCAAGCGTCCAAGCGGAGCTCAACACAATATAACACCCAATCAATTTTTCTGTCACGGGGAAGCTGAAATTAGCGCCCGCACACCGTTACACAGCAAGCCTCGAGGGAGGAGCCCGATACACGACACCAACGAATGAAGTGTTCTGTCACGTTCAGGTCACTGCAACAGCGTATAATTTGGCGCAAAATACTAGGTATTAAATGGCGTTACATGGGTGGTTTTCAGCGGTGATAAGGTTCCCGTTGGCATACTATCGGCAGGATGGATACGCCATTGTCGACCACAAACAAGCGATGCAGGAGTGAAGTTCTCCCAATTCAATTATTTTCGAGACTAATATTTGCCCAAATACACAGCACGATAGCGACGCCCACAACATCACCTCGTGGGAACCAAAGCCAACACCATAGCCAATGTTTATCTACTACCCTTCTTTCATTCCTGATCACATTATCAACAGAGACGAGTATATATTTCGGCGGCACGATCTTGCTTTCTCCCTGACGGAATTGTTGTGATTAATGGCAAAGGCAAGGAAGATTAATCCTCGGTCATCGACACTGAAGAGGATGTCTATACAAAGCTAATGGAGATGTTCGACGATGAACATGTTAACGATCCTTGTGCGGCTAAATGGAAGCTCTATACCGCCCATACTGCAGAATAATTACCCGCGAACGACGGTGCAAATACTCCCCCGAAAGTAACGTTGGATCTGACGGGAAGGGCAGGACGAATACGAGGCAACCCAAGCCAGTGGTGGTGTCAGGGTAGCGGATGAAAATATCTATGGAATACATTGAATTTTGAGAGCGTTCACTGCTGGGGGTTTGAGCCAGTTACGTGCGCCAGTTCCGTGCGCCAGTTATGTGCGCCAGTTGCGTGCGCGAGTTATGTGCGCGGGTTGTTTATATATATCACGGTAGCGACGTAGACAGATTATGGATACGATATTTCTGTATTAGACGTCACAGCCACTTCACAGGCTCCGATCGCCGTTCAAAAACAGCCCAGATGGAATGGTGACGGAATTTGCAATGCTTCTTAACGGAGTACTTGAACTTCTCCTTGAGCATGCGATTCAGACAACAACGTGCATCTCCGAAGTGCTCTGCGCCTATGACGATATGCTCGGAAGCTCCCGCAATGGGCTGGGTGCTGACTATTTCACAAGGCCCCGACTTGACTTAACCAGCGGGCGGGACGAAGATGCATCGGGTGATTTTTGTTTTGAGCCGTCAGAGCGATCGACGCGGTAAACGTCCTTGACATATTGTGGAAGGTATAATAATACAAAGGGACGAGTTGGTGGTAAGTTCTGAGAGGAGACAATCTCTAGCAAGCGCCGGAGACAGGGGAGACACCAATTGTAAGAGGTTTCCGACTGATCACTTCTTTCAACATATTTCGTCTAACAACAACCCAGGCAACGATCTGTTCCACGCCGAGTTTTCCCGAGAGCACCTCGACAAAAGAAATCTCCAGCTGTATGGTGCCCTTGACGAAATTGGTGGCGTCACTTTTCCTTTCTTTCCATTGTCGGCTGCTAGAGTGCGGCCGGTGCGTCCGCAAGACGAGAAACAATATACCTGCTGCGTGGGCATCGGATTGGGTGTCGCCCCTTTGTGGTGGCGGTTGGCACGTATGAAAAGCAAGAGGAAAGATGGCGCGAACGGCACTACTGGAAACGTGACAACCCACCGATGCCATCGATGTCCCTGGACCTTGAGATCGTGGTAGGTGCGGAACTGATTCGTGCTCGCTGAAGACACCACGAAGGAAATCCGAACATGTTCGATGACGGTATACTACACCTCGTTCGGTGACCTGAAATTGATCAATTCATCCACCATCAGGCGTATCTTGCACCGTCCAATCTCTCTTCCTCACCGGCTGCTGTCCCACTGATATAATCTCAAAGTCTTCATCATGCCTTTTCAATGGGGTTGTGCTTCTGAGCGTCCCTATCACCAGCACCGCCTCGTCTTCTCTCTGCGCCTCCTCCATTCAGCACTTGCTTCCGACGTACCGTGGTCCCATCTGCCGCGATCCGAGTTTGTCAGATATGGGTATGATCGTCATATCTGACAACCTCTCTTGGGCAGGCTCGGTCGGACTCATCCTGGAGCGTGTGGTCACGTCAAGAGTGTCTTCGAAGTCGAAGCTGTGAGAAATGTAGAGCTGGGTTTCTCGCGGAAGGGACACAATCATAACCACGACAACAGCTGGCTCGGGGACGACCATGAGGGAGTAGACGAACCGCTCCGACACAAAGACTTATCGTCAACGGGAGGTTTGCTTGTTTTGTTGTTTTTGCCACAGTGAACATAGGTCTGCCGGGTATGAAGCGGTATGTGGGCTGCGGGTAGACACCTTCCACCGGGGAGGCCATCGATGGGCATCGGCGCACAAAATAGCTCCCCTTCTCCAAATACCCAATCCTGGTCGAAGACAACGGAATTCATCAACCCAATTGTCATGCCTCAGTCTAAATTGTCCCTGTACGACCAATTCCAGACCGCTCGCATTTTGGCATTGGTGCCTCTTCGGTTGCAATCCAAACCCGTCTTTGCGTCCTCAGAGACGATAAGGGACGGATTCCGAGAAGCTAACAGGCATAAATCAGGAACAACTTGTCAAGGGCCGTCTCGCGTCTTGCCACCCTCTCGAAACGGCGGGAGCTGTACTTCTTCCCAACACCTTTGGAAAGAAACTGTATTTGGAATACCGATTCAAGATTCAAAAACCCGCGCGAAGCGAAAGGCAAGTCTACGCCTCTCTTACTCTGGATTCTTGTCTCACCTGTCGTTGCCTGTGGGACTGTTCCAACCGCTGTGCAACTTTAGGAATGTCATGCTTGCTTACAGAGGGAGGCTAAGAGCCGAGAAAAGCTTTACACCGCCGTGAGCGGTGGCGGTATACTTCTACTATGTACTGTTCTTATGAGTGGCAGTTATAGCTTCCCGCAGTGCTGGCTCGTCTGCGATAAGATAAAGGAGGAAAGAGAGGACGGGCATGTTGTGACTGCCTGGCCTTCAGGATCTTTCACGCCGTTGTTGCCCGAGACGAAATCAATTGTCACCGTGTGCATCCGGGTGTGCTCACTCACCGCCCTCACTGGTCGGGCATATATTATGTGCCGGCGACGTTAGGTTGATCTGTCAGTAGCATCTTGTTCCCTCTTCACGGCCGATATCAAGAAAAGCTGCTTTGGCAATATCAAAGACAAAGTCCCAAGCTGGCACTTTGGGAGAACGCGATGACGGCATGCTCCTCGAGCGATAACGAAACCTTCTGCCCAAGAGATCTGCAGGGACACCGAAAAGGCCGTGTCAAAGACCTACGCCCTACAGTATGCGCTCGCATTCCGGAGGAGCCTGGTGGACTTCGGCGTCATGTCTAGCATATGGTGGACTCATGAGACCCGGCAAAACAGGATGCCCATCTCGAACAACAGGATTAGACTCATCATATCATCATGTTCCTCTCCAAGTGCACGCCGAGGCAGGCAGGAGCAAAAGCTGAAATCACGCATAGAGCTCAAGATGGCCTGCTTGGTGTGTAGACGGTGGGAAGATTCAGACAGGCGGCTAAGCTCATAGTCACCTTCACAGACTATGCAGCAAACGTGTCGACATCGCTCCACAAACAACTCCTCAAGTCATCGAGTGGCCACAGAATCAACCCAAGGCTCATCATAGTGTCGCATAGGTAGGTGTGGTCTCAATAATTAAGTCACGTTGTGCTTTGACGTGGCAAGTGGCACGCTCCTGGAATCTAGTAATCACCCTCTCCAAATTCCACAAATCGGCTGTTTGGCTATGTAAGTGGTCATCCAGACCGGCGAGGTAACAGTAATTAATGATCCTCGCTGTCGACCTCCTGGATGGACCTATCTTACTGCGTCTAACGGCCCTTTTGTCTCTGCATCCATCCTCTCATCTTCACCCATCTTGCCACAGAAACCCACGCATATCGAATCACCATACTTTACCAATTCATCCTGTTAGCCTAAGAGCGGCCTTAATGATCTTACCGTCAGCCAATGATCTGAGCGGTCAAGACGATGACAATAACATTGCCCACGTCGACAAGAACCGTCTCAGTGTTTCTGGTGCACAGGCCACCCAGCACAACGCCGGCAACAACCAAAATGGCCAAAATCCGACCGCCTTTGTTCTTCTCCCATCGTCACACCCTCTCGACGCTTTATCACCACCATTACGGTTCTCCCCCCACGACCACGTTTATTGGGGGACTGGAATCTTAGCCCCCAAGTCGCCCCGAATACTAATTTGTGAGGTCCATTGCGATGACAACACTTCCGTCTGCGAAAAGATACGGACAATTGTGGAATCGAGAAACTGTCCCCAGGGCAGGTTTGACAAGCTCGATTCTCCTTCTTCACGGTTGCTTGCTCTTCACTGCACACTCGGGACTGGTGATATGGGGGTCCACGGTTAACAATTGAAGCAGAATGAAATTCATCAGACAGCAAAAAAAAGGCTCCTCAATGATGGCTTCCACCGCGCTCGCCCCACAAGTCGATTGCAGAAGTCCATGCCACATTCTCGACTTACAGCAGGTGATCGTCGATCCGAATGAGGTGCCCTGCACTCTTGGGGGAGATGCGCTTCCCAACCTATGCTGGAAATCGGGATTTTCAAGTTCAACTCATGGAGCATCTCCAATGTGTGAAAAAGGACAGCAGCAAGGTCATTCTGTTCTCCGACAGCACATGAAAACAAGTCGTTCTTCGCTTGAGCCCGTGTCCCTTGACACCAGCCCTCCCATCGCGTCAAAGTTGAACCTCTTCTCATTCAATAAGTCGAAATCGTCACCGTCACGGCCGCTTCGGACTCAAAGTACGAGATGTCCTCTTTGCGTTCTAGTCGACCCAGTCTATGATTCCCCTGGAACCCAACACGTGGCGAAGCCTTCCGTTTGCTACTATCAATAGAGACCTGATTGTCGGTGACCGCGTTCCGCGGGCCAGTACGGGTATACCTTGATGAGAGAGCGATACATCTCGATTGGCTACAGAGGCGCATTGGGCGTTGCAACCTCGAGAAGGAGGGATTGGTCGAGGGTTCAGCTGTGATGCACTTCCATGATCATACACCCAACGATCGCGGTGGCTATGTGTGCGATCCGCCAGTGCAAGTGGATGTCCATGGTCTGCGGTATGTACCTGTCTCATCTTCAGCACGCAAGATTAGTTTCTTGGACACATTCTACTGTCCTCTCCAGTGCGAGTACGAGTGTTTTACTTATGCCTTCGTAGGCATTCCAGTCCGCCCTTTCCTGGTATGTCTGTGCACGTAACACCGTGTCCTATATCTCTTGACATGTCATGGTATTGCGTTCCGTGTCCCTTACAATCTCCTCGGTAGCTCCGTGCGTGGTCACGGACCCTTGGCACTAGGTGCGCGGTGACAATGTCCTTCCATTTCGTATCTCGCCGGGTACGCTCCGCGCAACTAGTGTCTAAGCGACCCTCTGCGACCACCCCGGGGCGATAATGAGCTAAATCAAGGCCCATACTTAAGCTGGTTCGCTGGTCCTTGGAGCTCGAGGTCTGGGGTATGTTTCCCGCTTCAGGCCCAGATGATACTGTGGGTGGCTGGCGGTGCCTTTTCGGTCGACTCAGCGTCCCTCTCAACCGACTCTTCCCAGGCATAGTTTCCATCCGCACCGTCTCCCTCCCAATATATCCATCGTTACCTTTATCTTACAAGTGGCACACTTGCTTAGTGCGCTCGCCCTGCAGACCATGCATTATCTGCGCAAACTGGGGGAAAGTCATCTTATGTTTTTTTCAACGACAGATGACGAGGATGACTGTAAGTCTAGATGAATTCGCCGAAGTTCCGGATGCCAGCTATCAAGGCGCGGATGCCAAAATGAATGCTGTTACCGACGCCGCTGACCTCGCTGCGTAGAAGCCGCCACAGCTTCTGCGCGGCTTGGTCGAATTGGCTCACTATTCTGGTCTCAGGGTCCAAGCCTTGCGACGCGACGAGGCGGCCAAGGTGGTGCAACTTCTCAGGTTGAGAGTGAGTAGGGCGGAGATTTCCTTTGGCCTCTTCGTGAATTCAAGCTCCTCTTGGGGCGTTGGTCGTCCTCTGCATGCGACCAGGACATTTCCAGGTCTTCCCTGCCGTCCCCCACGAGTTGCACCACTTATTCCCAAGCGCTCGAGACCTCCGGTTCCATTTCTCCATGCGCACGCCCGTCTCCATCACAATCGGTATCTTCAGAAAACAGAAAGTTGAGAATATCGGTGCAGTGACCATTGAAAACGCCTGTGGTCGCTTTCAGGGCAGAAACACCTGTTATCTAGCCCGGACAATATGGTTTCACTGTCCCTTCACCTCTTTCGAGGAGTTATCTACCATTTCTGTCTGGGTCACCATCCGATCATGGACGAAATGAAGTCTCCGCCACCGACAAAATTCCCTGGCTTCGACTACTGCTTCATCAAACTGCCTTCAAGAGTCAAGTCCGATGTTATATATTATTTAAGACGAGAAGGACGTTTTTGGTCTTCTGGTCAAGAATACAGTGTCTGGGGCACACTCGAACGGCTCCACGGCAATGAAAGTGACCTCTATACAGGAGAATCGGCAAGCGACAGTGTCACAGTACCGAGGAAGCAGTGGTGGATATCACTTCACTCAGAAAAGGGCGCGTCGCCTTCACGATAATCGAGGCCGAGGTTGGCCGCGGGCTGGACCTGCTGGTCATCAATACGGGCTAACAGACCGTCGGTAGACCGTTGCTGGACATCGACATGGACGGGTGATTCCGGTGCATCGAGATCAGCGTCAACGGAAGCTTCCTGGTGGGGTCCGAGTTCCTGCGAGACTGCAACACCATCAGCGCCGTGATCATGAACCTCTAGTATCCTGCCGCACTCCAGCGTGGGCGCGGGCACAAGATTAACATCACCAAAGCCGTAAAGATGATCCAAGAGGAGATGACCTTGGTGCACATATTCAATTAGGGTTTTGGTCTGGTGGAGACAGTCATCGCTGACAGCCTAGCGCAGATGGATAGTAGGACGTGTAAGAGCATTGGACGGACTAACTGAAGAGAAGGTCGGTCATATCTACCCGTTGTAGCTAATCGCCGGGCCTCGTCATGTTCCTCACGCTCTCCAAAACTACCTCAGTATCGTGACTACCTAGCGCCACGGCGAGCAACCTGATGCAAACCGAACCGAAGGCTGCGGTGAATCGATCTGGTAAACGGGAAACAGAGTATTAGCGATATCTGGTTCAGAAACATCACAGAAGGAACAGGTGTGGGCCACTTGAAGACTCTAGACGCCGTTACCACATTAATGCCGACGATATCGGCGTGCTGGAGGGTTCCATGCGATGCGAAATCCTCTCTCGGGCGCCGATCCCACAAGCCTCTACTTCTCAAGGAGGGAGGAGGAAGCCTTGCGCGGCCAATTTGGAGGACGACGACGCCGAAGCGTCAGGCCGTGAAACATACCTGTTTCCGCCCATATCCTTTGCCTCATGTGGATTTGAAGCAGGAAAGTACAGGGGTTTTCCACTGGCATGAACACCCGGTCCCACATAACCCTTACTCCCTGGCATATTTTATACTGAGTGAGATTGGCCGGGGTCGGAAAGCTGGAGGAGGGAAGAAGACGCCGTCAGGTTTGACAGTAATGTGCGGAGGGAGGCCCATCCATCACATGAGATGATCGCGATCCGGCGCACAGGGTACGAATGGTAATGACGATGCTGTCGACGAGATATAAGTCCGATCACTCTGGACTCATCGACAGACGCTGGAACAGACGCTGGATCTGTGGTCAGCGTGTTGAGCTCGACTTCGTGTCCGTGCTCCAAATGGACTCACATCGAGGGCCTGCCACTTTCACAGCGGATGCCAGGACATTCATTGTTTGTCCCAGGAGTCTATTCACCTAGGTTCACAAGCAGCGTCGGATCCTCAACAGCGAGCAGAGGTTTGAGGGAATCCCGGCCACATCCGCTTTCTCCTTAGAGACCTCACGTGTCCTTCTCAACGTCGCCCTGCCCGGCGGAAGAGAAACTACTGAACGGGTTGATCCCAGAAACTTTCCCTCTAGGGCTCCCAGCACTAGTCTTCCACCATGGTCACTGTAGCGCCGAGTATGGTCTGGTAACTAACTGCATGAGTCGGAACCTTTGTCGTGAGTGGAGGCCCCCGTTCTCCCATCCCAAAAGGCTGCTTATCCTGCAGGACCGTCGCTTTGTCATCTATCCAGCTGGCGTGGCTTCGGACCTTACCTGCCGCCGCTGCTGCTGCTGCTGTTGCATCGGTGACGATGACGGGATCCATCTCGTAGCCAAGTTTCAATGACTTCGAGCACGAGCAACTGGAAGCAAAGAGCCCGTCCGAGCAGTACGACTCGCTCACGCGGGATATCTTACCTGCGCAGCGCCTCGGACTTTCGAAGGCGCAACAAACATTTGGCCCACCTCAGGATTGGCGATATGGAGCCAAATAGCCTGGCAACGGCATCCCGATTCCTGAGCAAATCTCTTATCCGCGCACTCCCTCCCCTCCAACGGCAAGTTCCGTCGACTTTTCCCGCTTACACCGTATGGTCCCAGCACCGACCCACTTCCGACACTTTCATGTCCCAACATTTTTAATTGTCGTGACCGGCATTTCCATTTCCGGAAGTTCATTACCCAACATCTCATTACTGACACTTCTGATTCCGGGACTTCATGTCTCGACATTTCAAGTTGCCGTTACCGACAATTCCATTTCCGGACGGTTGTTGTCCCGACATTTCCAACGACGTCCGGAATCATCAATCTCGCCGACGACCCGATTCTCCGACTTGATCACCTTCGCCAGAGTCCGCGTCCTTTCAACGGACTCGCCAGAGAGATTTTTTTTTTCTTCTCCGCGTCTCGTCGTCAAGAAGCACTAGATCCGCCCCGCGGGTTTCCAAAATCTATGCGCAGTAAGGACAAGGTCCGGCATCAGTGCGGTACAACTGTCTCAACCCCGGGAGGTCCGGACATTTGTCCTGCTCGCTCCACCTGGAAGACAATCGAGGTAAATGGTCGTCTTCCTCCGGGGTTCCATCTCTTCTATAGGCTCCGCAATGCAAACCCGCCCATACTTCCCAGACGCCCACTGCAATGATGATCACCTCTTTCGTGGGGAAAGTAGCCGGCCAAGCGACTCCATGTATCAAGTCTCCACACGTGGTCGCCTCAAATGTTACCCAAAAACGCTCCAATGTCAACATACGGCAGGCGTGAATGGTGCCTGCAACTCCCAATGATCTCACCTCAGGCGCAAAAGTCCTCAAAGTCTTCACGCCGCACGAACACCAGTTACCCGCCTATCCTCCTATCCTCGTCATGAAGCGTCCCCACTCGTCTAATCTTGCTCCACGATAACCTGCATATCGCTGATCTGATGATGGCGATGTGCTACGCGGGATCTCCACTGCCATGTCCCTGTTCGTACGGCTGAACCTGTGTGGCCATGGGAACTGTCCTACTGGGCGAAAACTACGACAGTGCTATGTCTAGGTACGTACGTACATCCTTGCCCATTCTGGCATTGAAAGGCCTTCCGCAGAGCTCTGCGACCGCGGATGGCTTTGATGCCTTGGAGATCCATTAGCCAGGATCTGCTGACAGCTCGAGAACCTAGAATGGAAAGAACCAAGACCCAGTCCACAGAAGCGTCCGCTATGCCTTCCACGTTCCTCATCGGACCATCGAGTTTGATGTCTGAACTCTTTGCTTCAAGCTGAGGCGTTCTGACGCTTGAAAGGGCCTCGCTCTGAGCCCGAGTCCCGGCATGCGCTAATCCTCCACGTTAGAGTTGTCTTCCCAGACTCCAACCCCTCGATCCTTTATGTCCACGTAGTAATTCAATAGAGGAAGCCTACACGAACGAGGCGATATTCGAGAGAAAGAGAAGGTGTGATCTATATATTTGTCGAGTCGTGCCGCCACTACTCTCGTCGGACGCCGGGATATGAACAAGCATCGAGATTTACGCCGCCTTTAGACGATCGCTCTACACATTCTCCAACGAAGTGTTAACTCATCTAATTCGCGAAAAGATGGGCCTCATCCCGGTTGCCGTATCCACGGATGTCCATTCTCCTGGCCTGGCTGCCATTGGACCTGTTGGGATCGATCCTGCGGCCCAGCTTCGTACAAACCTTACCATAATTCCACATATTCCGTTGCAATGAGAGAACGAGAGAAAAACTGTACCCAGGTGCTTTGCCAGTGCCTGGCCCACATTCTTGTCTCTGTCGTCCACTCCATAGACACAGCACAGTGGCCTGCCGGTACCAACGCCTAGCTACACGACTAGGAGCAACAGCCTTTCCATCATATCCATCGCAACCCGAGGTCGAGAGCGTTGTTACTAGCAGCGCGGCCTGGGCCATCTGATTCCTCAAGATCCTTCAGCCGAGAGCATAAAATACGGGCACGATGGCGAAAAAGCCAAGGAAAGAAATATACCCACATATCGTGCACAAACAAATGGAGGATTTACACAACGGTCGCCAGTTCCATCTGATGGCCGAGATGTGGTTTCCATCACCCAACATCGCAGGAGGATGGGAACCGACATGGGGAATCAGCCGGCATCGCCCGTGCTGTATCTGCTGTTGTCTTGAATCGACCCTTATGCTGGATCGCCCACCTTTCCCTACTCGGAGGGAAAGGATTGGTTGGCAATGCCTGTCTGTGGATCAGCCTCTTCGAGATCGGATGGCCTCTGTACACTCTCAGGCGTTTCAGTTGTCGTTGTCTCTCAGCATGTGCACAGTGCAGAGGCCTCCAGATCCACCCCCAACGCACCGACAGATCAGGTTGCCACCATCATTGATCATTTTTCTGCAACCACATCAGGAAGCACGAGCACTGTATCTTCGAGAAATGCATGGAATTGTTCCGGAATACCCTCCTAGGGCGGGTAGGAAAACCTTGGACGTTTGCCTTGCACGGACGGGAAAATTGTGAGCTCATTCTATTTTCGCCGAGTTTGGAAAAGACTCTACCCCACCCCAAACCTGGATGAGAATTGAGGACCTGGTTGTGATACACTCTTTCTCGGCCAGGTTGAGAGGAGTGACGTCTTTGTGTTTGAGTGTCAAAGTGCAAGCACCACCGCCGGCGTCTCACCCTGCTAATCGTTGTTACGGTTCCATCTGGGACAACATGTCATCCCACCACCTGATATTGCCGAGCTCGATTTTGGTGGGGGGGGCCGTGGGGGGTTACTTGACACGAGGCCGTGGGTGAGAAAGCAGTTCATGCACAATTAGAAAAGCTCGGCAGGTTGGACGGGCATTCACGATCTGGATGCTGTGCATTAGCGGTAAGGGCAGCCTTGGAGCTCGGAGGCTGGAGCAGCAAGCATTGGATGGAGTCGAAAGAAGAATAATGGGAGGCAGGAAAGCGCCACGCACCTCTGCGTGGCACTGATGTTTCTCATTAGAGACATGGGCGGAGGAGCCGAGACGAACGATAAGGTTTCAGACCTATTTCACGGGGCTGTTAACAATACGAGACACACGCAGGAGACTTTCGAGTTTACGCGGTAATTGACAGTCGTGCTGGTGCCAGATCGTCCATTGTGAGGGCCCTGTTCCAAGCGTTTCAATTGCTTCATGGTCTTGACCTGTGGGAGTTCGACTAGCAGTCCAGAGTTAGGGAAATTCTGGTACTCCTTTCATGAGGTGACCAGGTCAGCTCTGTGACATTTGATCTTTATATTGACGTGGCGCGCCCAGATGGCTCAGGAGGCGGTCAGTATTTGAAGGAGAACTCCATACTCAGGTCGAGAACATCAAGGCGCTGCAGGCAGAGATGCATTCTACGCAGCAAGGCCTTGTCCGCCATGCTCGAAGCCGCACGATCAATGCGGACAAAGCCGAGCGACGGCGGCCTTGTTTCAAGATTCAACTCATTGTGGAGAAACACATGCGAGATAGGAAACATCTAGATTTCCACTGGGACGCAAACAGTAATGGTATGGCACCGACAGAGGATGGAAACCTCCAAGCACTATACAAGGCCTGACTAGTGGACATCGGGTTGAACAGTGCGAGTCGATCCTTCGCAGCCAATATATCGTTACAAAGGGGAAGGCGGTGCCCCATCGATACCGGCGAGCTGAAGGAAGGCGCACTCAACTCAGTTCTTATCCAGCGACAGGAATTCCATGTTACAGCTTTGACCCTTGCGAGAAACGGAAAGTGTCGGAATGTCGAAGCTGGAGATAATTGAAGTGTCAGCAGGGGTGATGTACACGCAGTTCGTGTTGGGAAAGGTCGTATTATCAGGTGTGGTAATGCGTAGATGTGTGGGACATGTACCCAGTTATGTGACGTCGCCGTCCCTTCCACTTGCAGTCGGTCTGTATAGTCGAGTAGAGGCAGGGTTGACGAGGGCAACGAGCACGATGAGGAAGAAGCCCTGACCCTCGCCTGCGTGAGCCATCATGACATGAAGTTGTTGGAAGGGGACTGACTGGGCTCCAGTCCCATCCCGGCGCTCTACATGACTGGTGGGTGTGGCTTGGGTGTGCAGGGTCTGGAGAATCGTCTGTAAGTCATCGCCAGCCGCTGATACTACTACCACTATCACCACCACACGCACTTCAACCCGGAGAGTCAGAGCTTTCTATATTATAAGGGTGTGAACACCATTATCATTTGCGTTTTTGGTCATCGCCTGACTTTCTGAACATGAGTTGTTTGGAACGGTTGTTTAAATTTGGGTTTCTCTTATGCCGTGGCAAGCTGAGGGGGCTTTCGGCCAGGTGGGCTGGCACCTCTCTTTCCCGTTCACGATTTCGGGGACCTTGACCTCCGAAGACTGCCATCGGGCTTGCATTTAATGTAGTGTTCTCCTGCCGGCTGGCCAATTGCCTTGTGGGCTCGGCGACCTAAATTTGTCATTCAGGAGATGATAAATTCTTGATAAATTCTTTGAAGCTCGTCAACCTTTTCATTGTCACACTGGAGGTGTGGAGATGCGAGATTATTCAAATGAAGTACTTCCTGTGTTCTCAGCACAACTTTGGCTCTGGACGGAGATTCGCACACTAACCAGTCCACCGACTCTCCATCCCTCCTGGCATTGACCTGAAGCGGCTTGAGGAGAATACTTCCAGGAGGCTCTGACATAGGTTGGATCGGGCTGGGTTAGCGACTGTTTTATTGCGTCTCTTGGCAGGTCGGGTGGAGGGACAGATAGGTCGGCAAGACCATAAAACCCATCTGTCAATCCGTGAGCTGGCTGATCTCTACGGAGCCAGGAACACGCACAGCATACCGCCACAGATCATCCAAACGGTAAAAGCTATCGGGCAAAATGGCAAAAACTTATCACAAAGCAGGTCAACCAACCTGGTTTGTGATAAGCGAAACTCGCCCTTGCGGGTTGGTTTTTCTCGGCCGGCCGGTTATACTACAAATTCGCTACTTTATAAGGTTGATGTCGATCGGATTCGAACCCCAGGTCCTGCTGCCGACTAACCCCGGTGGTTGTCTTGACCTGACAGGACCGGGAGTCGACGTGATTCGCCCTCGTCGTATTGAGGGGGTCTTGGTGTGGGAGAAATTTGGAGAGATCAGAATATATGTCTTGAATTTATTGCTAGACTAACTAGGTAGGTCAGCCGAGTGTGTGCCCAACCCTTCATTATGACGGATTGGCGAGTGACACCACGGCGCCTTTCGAGCCCACACAGTTCTGCCAGCTTATCCAGGGCGTTGCAGGGCCTTCTCAGTCAGCTCCAAGCGTGCGATAAGCTGGAGTAGGGCGTGGACTGTTGGCAATTCCAAGAACCGCATGCCGGATTCCAGGGAAGGCTTGGCCGGCCGTGCCAGACACCATGAGATACAAATTCGGCTGTTCCATACCACCGCATCCCAGATCACCGTCTCAGTCATGCAGTTGATTCTTCTCGAGCCGTCTGGAGGCAGAAAAATGGGAAAAGGCCGGAGACGAATCTAGTCTCGCGGAGCCTGTCAGAGAATTCGATTCGTTCTCCGAATATTTCGCCACGGTCCATCTGCCTCTGATGACCTTAACTATGAGGTCAGTGATAGCAGTACCAGATGCGAGAGCATTCATGTCGTGCTACTGGCAGAAGCAAGGCCACTACAGATATGACTCTCCTTCTTTCCGCGCCTCGGCACCTTTCATGTGGAGTTGCGTGCCTTGCAACAAACTATCATATTGCTCTCAGACAAGTGTTTGGAGATCGCGCTGGAGTTGGGCTCATTCCATCACTTCGGGACAGACCCAAAGCCCATCTAGACATGGCGTTGCATACCTTGGAGCTGTCAATTGACACAAATGTCGTGGTAACGACCAAGCAAGCAACAAAGTCTGTTGCTTGTTGCTTGATGACCCATTGAGTGCCCTCAAGGAAGAAACTGCCGAATGAATTATCCAGACACATTTATGCCGCGACTTGATGGACGGTCGCATCTTCGTTGTTGCCACTCACAAGACCGATCTTTGTCTGCACATGGCATTGCATCACAATTAGTTAAGGCCATCAACGGACCAGAGTTTCTACATCGAAACGTCAAGGTACTGTCAGAAGCCAGCCGCAAGTTCGGCGGTATCATCGACCCCATTGATGGTGTGTCACCTGGAGCGCTTCTTCACCTAGATTGAACGCAGCATCTGGAGTTCGTGCCTTCACGTTGAGGTAGTGTGTATCGGAGTCGTGTATTGAACCCACCGATTCTGTCTGCCATCGAACCAAGATCGGTGCAATGAAGCCCGCGGTGGCCAATCGCCGCTCCTGGGTCTTTCGAGTGCTCAGTGGGGTAGCTGCTCCTAACGCTCCGCGCAACAGCTTGAATCTCATTCGCAGCTTCAGTTCCAGCGCCACGATCAACGATAGCAGGGGTCACACTGCCGCATGACCAAGCAGCTGATTCTCAATTCGTGCAGAATGCAACTACCCAAACTGCTCACAGTATGCAAAGAGCCAGCAACGAGGTTTCCAATGCCGACGCGGGACTGCCAATGGGCAGTCAACGCCATGCCCAGTAACGGCAAGTGGGTTATAAAATGCGGAACATCATCAACACCCAGGTACTCTTTCGTCGTCAATACCCATGGAGACGGCACTGGCGATCCAATTGCATGTCGTAAGTATTGCCAGGTCTTCTCCTGGCTGCGAGTAAGCGACCTCGGGGACGATGCCGCAAAGTTAGGTCTCTTTGTGAACGAAGGACACGTCCAGGTTGGTCTGTACAAAAGTTGACAGCTGCTAGGAATCGAAGCACATCCACGGGACAGAATTTATCCATCTGGACCTCAAGGCCTCCGGCGTTCCTTTCAGGGACTGTGCAGCTCACAGAATGGCTGGTAACATTTGGAGTTCACGTCGCCACTGTGTAATCGATGCCAAACTCCACCGCAAAGCCGAGAGTTCGCAACTAGGCCGAAGTCAACAATCAAGTCTACTCCTAGATAATCCGGAAGGGGTGAAGAAATTGACTACTATACTCCTATAGAGGGCCCTTCCCTCACATGGTACCGAGAACAGGGCAAGTCCAGCATTGAGTACGCGTTCTAAGCCTAGGCTTCCAGCGAAGAAAGTTGGATTTCGATGTTGTAACCCGTGTGTGCGGGCAGTGTTTTCTGAATATCGCGGCACTCAACCTGAACCAGCCGAAGCCGCTCTGCTATCAATCATGGCCCGTCCTTGCCCCGGAGGGAACCTTCCCACGACTCGTGACCCCAACCGGCGGCAGAATATCCGCTACCCTTTCCACTAGAATCAGTACTCCTTGTACTTGACCAACCCGTATTTCTGTGCACTGACGAGGTCGCGGCCCGAGAAGGGGCTGGACCAAGACAATACCCCGCCGAAGAGTAGGAAATTACAGCCAGGAACTGCGGAATTCGCAACATCGCCTGTCCAAACTGTGAGAAGCGAGGATACATTGCCTATTTCTTCCTCCCCTATGCCTTTGACCTTCATATGGCTTCGCCTCACTGGCGTCTTGGGCCATCCGGCGGGCCACCACTTCTCCTGTCATATCTCATTTGCAGCTTAGCATACCTGACAGCTCCCCAGGCCATCCGAGGTCAACTGTACATTCACGCCGGGGGAATGTGGCCGTGAAAGGCTAGCACGAAGCACGACATCATGGTGACGAAATTTGATGCAACGAACCTGGGTCGATGCTTGGATGTTGATCGTATCTTGATCTGCCAACGGTGGATTGCGAAAACGATGATCAATTAATTCCCCGCCCACGGGTACGACATCCAGCCCGCTTATCGCTTGCAAATACTCTGTGAATCCTTCCCATCTTCCAATACTTAGTCCGCCTAACGTCCCGTCAGCGGCTCTGTGACTCAGTGCAGGACATGCTGAGTCTTACGACTGGCTCTCCCGCTGCAGGGTTGACGTTGCCAGGTCACAAGTCCAGCAAGGACAGAAAAGAAGATCCAAAGAGATCAAAATAATGCCGCAACTCTTGTGTCGGTGGAGATCTTCTTTCAGCAAGATTAACCATACCTTGCAGAGATACAGCCACCCTAAAGTATGAGCGATGTATGATTTCAGCGAAAACCCCCACGACTTCTGCACATTTCAAGGCACAAGAGCTGGCTGTCTCCTGTGTCTTTTCATAATGAAGCCGTGCAGGTAGCAAGTTCCTAGCTTGCACGATGTAGGAGATACCTTCGCACATCGAGTTACAGCTGGCGCCAACTGACCTGACTCATAACCAATCTGAAAAATCGCGCTCCTCGCCCACAATCAGCTGCGGGTTCAAAATTGCCCCAGCACATTCTGTATTCTTTTGGCTGAGCAATTGTTTGATGAGCTCCCTGTCCGGCGAAGCACGAGAGCGCTTTCTCGTATTTGTCAAGTCGAAGGAAGCAAACCGTCCGAACGGATACGACTCTTCAGGTCCCGGAATTCGGCAATCGGCCAACTCTCCTCACGCTGTGAGAGCACTAGAGAAATGTCTTGAATCATCTGAGTTCTCCCATTCTCCCACCCGTGAACGGGTAGTGATACTTGAGCACGGACAGATGCCTGAGCTAGAGCACCCGCGATATAGGACAAGCTGCCGGTCGTCATCTCGCTCGTCTCCTGTGGTCGACCTGCACTGAGAATCATGGAATTCATCAGATTGAACATCGTGGACAAGTACGGCCGGGCGGCGCGCGCGACGTATCCCTTGAAGGAATTGACGATATGCCCCCGACGTACCTGGCTGGCTGAGTGCGAGTGATACGGCAGGACGCGCCGCTATATACATTTCCGAGAGTAGGATAATGTGCCAAGCGGATCGTCCTGTGGCGAATACCATGGAGTGTACATCGTGCAAGGTATTGGTTTATTACAACAATAAAAGCACGCCGCTTCCGCTGTTAATCAGCTTGAGCACATATCTTGGATTCGGACCTACTGGTCTGGCCCTCCATTCTCCTCTCCGTCGCTTTATTCTCTGCTGAGTCAGATGATGGCCCGGGAGTCTCTGCGGAGGCAGTGGTATTGAATGCCATTGCGTAGGTCAGCTGAGTTCTCCTGGCTTGTATATGACTCTGACCATAAACACTACTGTGTTTGTTCCCTGTCACAAGCTAGAGAAACGAATGGTCGGCGCTCTCCAAGATTGGCTCTAACAATGCTTTCCATCGCAGGGTGCTCATTCCGGATCGAAGGAATTAGATTGCCGTCAGAATCACGCCTCCAAGGGCCACAATGTCTCTGTTAAGTGCACAGATAAACATTACTCGCCCTGTAACAGCGCTTCACAGAGCTCTGGAAGGGCAAGCGGTAGACGGTACAGGTAGTCTCAACTGTGAGGACCACTCCTGGCAAGAAGGTGATGCCGCTTCCGAAGGAACGATGGAGGGTATTGGCCGTGAAGGATGTTCGACGCCGAAAGAGCTGACTGCTCATCCCCACTGCCACCTGGGTGCGGATGACAGGTCGACTCGTGGCCAAAAAAAAGGTCAACCCCATTATCAATAAACCAGTATTCAAGGGCAAAGAATTCGCTTGTCCTCGGGGATGTCGACGGGGCCCTCGTCTTTCTTCCTGAGATTTCCATTTCCGACACTTTCATATCAGGATTTTCAAGTTGCCGTTACCGACATTTCCATTTCCGGCACTTCCATATCCCGACTTTTTGAATCGCCGTTACCGACACTTCCCTATCCGGACGTTTATTACCCGACATTTTCAAATGCCGTTACTGACTGTTCCATTTCCGGAATTTTCATATCCCGACTTTTTGAATCGCAGTTACCGACACTTCCCTATCCGGACGTTTATTACCCGACATTTTCAAATGCCGTTACTAAAACTTCCTTTTCCGGACGTTTATTATTCGACATCGGTTTACCGATACTTCCATTTTGTAATATTTATCACCCGACACTAATTTACCGACACTTCCACCACCGGCACTTTCATATCCCGACACTTTCAAATGCCGTTACTAAGAGTTCCCTATCCGGACGTTCATTACCCGACACATTAATTGCTGACATTTCCACAACCGATATTTTCATTTCTGGATGCCTTCTTTCCCTGGCACTTGATTACCGAAATCTTCATTGCCGGGATCGATGTGGACAAGCTCCCTCGCCTCCGGATCGACTTCCCGTCATACATCTTACAGTATCTTACAGTACATCGACAACATTTTGGGTGCGTTGGCGACCGGGTTGTGCACCTCGACGGTGTTTTTTGTGCCATGCGCTGGAATGCGCTGGATCAAGACTCAATTGTCCCGGGACGCTCGCAAGAATCGGAAATCCGCAGTCCTACTCGAGCCCTCCGTGAATGGAATGTTGAGCTCGTTATGTCAGTGCCACCATTTAGTTATTGACAGGGGGCAATATCAGGGACTGCCAGCATAGCGATGCATCGTTGCACCCGTCGACGATAACAGCACTGCCATTCTCAGGAAGGCTCCGACAACCTCAGCACATAGACAAGAACATGGTGCAAGGCGTCAAAGAACGATTTTGCCCACTTGATCGCTACAGCTGAAGAGGAATACACTGCTTCCCGAACGTGTGTTAGCTAGAGGCAGATATTGGTGTCAGAATAATTTGAACCGGATCTCCGACGACACGACGACCTGCAGTGATACTGCATAGTGGCCGAAAATCCGGATGAGTGAGTGTCTGGGAGCAGATCAACAGAGCCGACGAAGTTGACGACCTCCACCACTAGGAATGCACCAAGCTAATTGACCTCAATCAAAACCTCACGCTGACAGCAGTAGCAGTAGTCGCCGTCCACGTTGCGCATGCGATGCGATAGGGCCCGTGCAACATCACAGGCTATGCAGATAAAGTATTGCGCTGATTGCCGTGGCGATTTATGAATGGAAGACTGGGAGTGTTGTGCCAACAGGATCGACAAATGCTGACGGGCGACTGCTATGCCTGCCGCTGGCCAAGGAGCTCAGACAGTTCTGGTGTCTGAGATGGCTCCTCACCTCCGCATCGACGGACTCGATGCTCTCTTGATATTGCCAGCTGTTCCTTCTTCGCATCTGCCATCGCAGGAGTATCCGTGGGGTGTTAGCGACGGTGGTAAAATCCAGGCTAGCGGGCGCGAGAAACGCTGGCAATGGTAGGCAGTGCAAAGCCATGAGCTCGAGCCTGAATGTGGGGATTCACTGGCGCTGGCCGGACAGCAGGCACTGGGTTGTCAACGGCAGACCGCTTCTTCAATAGATGGCTTTTTCACGGCATGACATACACTATGCACTCTCCTTATTGCCCCGAATAGGCTTGAACTCGTCTCTCTGCTGAGTTGACCATAGGCGGAATAGGTCTTGTGGGGGCTTAATTGAGGACTGGGCCAGAGAGCGGTGTGTCTGGAGGTCTAAAGGAATCAGGTGGCGTATCGGCTGCCATTTTAACAGAACAGATTTAAGGGAAATTGATTGGGAGAAATTTGAGCGAGTGTATTAAAGCAAAACATCGGACATTTAGAGCTGTGGTGAGTAATCCGCTTAGTCAATACTGTTGTTTGTTTGTTATTATTATTGTTGTTGTTGTTGTTATGCAAAATAGGAAAGGGCAAATAGTCAGACCGACCACGTCATTGGTCCAAAGCCTATTGGCACGCGACTTTACTAAAACAGCCAATCGGATTTGGATATTCTTCCCACCAATCAAATCGGCGGCTTTGTTGACGAGTTTGCCTACCAAGTCTGTTTTGGCTTCCCTCAACAGGTTGAGTTGGTGCATGGTGATATAATTGACTGATATGATAACAGGGGTTCGGTAGCCCATTCAGAGCTTTTCGCGAAATCGAGAGTCTGCCTTTCCTACCTCTTTGTCACTTCTCTTCTCTTGGGTGGCCACGTTCATGGATCTTCGATGTCTCTACTAAGGCGTCGCTTTGGGGGTGATGGGATCTGTGTCGATCTCCATCCTTCGCTCCGAGGTCCACTCGTCTCCTCCTCGCCTGTGGGAGCCCCTGTTTGGTACGCTGCCTCCTTTGCGCAACCGACTCATGCCTCGGCGCAACCGCGACCTCTCAGGAAACTGGGTATCAAGTTTACCCTCCCCCAAAGATTGGCCTATCCCTCAGGCCGTCGCCGACCAGAGCGGGAGAAATATCTCAGTTTGGATATACTTGGTCTGAAGGTCAAAAGTATACGAAACTGGCGGCATCGCTGGAGATCCTTTCGCCATGTACGAGGCGGTTGGTTTGGCTGTCTACCAAGGTCGCAGAGTGTGCCCCGCCACGTGCTGTTACACCCGTCTTGCTGCTCCTGTGACGCCGCATATGTTCAGCCCAGAGGCGAACGCAAGTTGGTTTGTGCAGAAGACGTGGGACTCTGCCATGGCTTCTGCATTCAAACAGTGGCTCAGTGGATTGCACTGGTATTCTAAGCGATAGCTCTTGAACTGACGGCCATAATCTGGGCTTCCTTTCGTGGGAACGCTTTGACAAGGCAAGGCAGCGAAACAACTGCATACTTGTGGCTCTCTTGGTGGCGTCCGGACGTTACCTACGACGTCGTCGGCTTCTTCCATAATAACGGATGGTTTGAAAGGACCACGACTACACCTCACCCGACATGATGCCCCGGTGCCCTGGAAAACCGTCGCGCAGCAACGGCAACACAATAAGCACTCGAAGGAAAGATTCCCTATGATCGGCCTGAGACTTTTTCGCACTCTTTTTTGGCGAGATTTCGCTGCTATCTGACTGAGCAGTACTGATTTCTACGGACTTCGGCGGGGCATCGTGATCTGAAGGAGACTGGCAAGAAGAGCCTCGTCTGGACAAAAAACGAAGCCTGGCAAATCGGTGAGGTGTTGAGAAAGACCACGAGCGGTGGCAGGCGTGTCATCTGGATCATGATAAGCCACTGTTGCGGGGATTGTTCCCCGAGTGAAGGAGAAGGGTATGAAGATGGAGATTTCCTATCAAGGACAAGAAGAAAGGCATTTCTGTGCCAGCAATGGCGGCGGCAAAATTGGATTGTGGGATACCATATATGGAGCTCCAAGTTGTCACTTCAGTCGCAGCTGAGAAAAGGTTTTTCAATCCGCTGTCCTCTCATTTGTCATCATTTGTCAACATGCATCTATCTGTTGGGCATGAATAAGTCTCCTAGATGTTTGGGGGAAATTACGAACTCCTCATTGCACGGTGTGCTTGGGACTTCAATTCATGTTGATCCGTCTTTCAAAAACTTTTACAGTCTTGAGCAAAATTCAGATTTCGCACCTGTCGACATCATCATGTAGCTTTTGCATCCCAATCGCTTCATCAACTGTAATTGTGGCACTTGTCTGTCCGCGCATACTGGGTGTCAACGCAGAGTCGGTCCTACGCGTATTGCAACTCACTTCCACATAGAAGGAGTCAGCTACGTCGGGGAAAGATTAATGCGCTCAGCGGTGTCGGGTAATGGACGTCCGGTTATGGAACAGTCAGTAACGGCATTTGAAAATGTCGGGATATGAAAGTGCCGATAATGGAAGTGTCGGTAAACTAGTGTCGGGTGATAAATATTAGAAAATGGAAATATCGGTAAACCGATGTCGAGTAATAAACGTCCGGAAATGGAAATATTAGTAACGGTATTTAGAAATGTCGGGTAATAAACGTCCGCATATGGGAGTTTCAGTAACGGCATTTGAAATTGTCGGGTAATAAACATCCGGATATGGAAGTGTCGGTAACGGCGATTCAAAAAGTCGGGATATGAAAATTCCGGAAATGGAAGTATCAGTAACGGCATTTGAAAATGTCTGGACACGAAAGTTCCGAAAATGGAAGTGTCGGGAACAGCCCTGAGACAGTCCAGAGATGTTGTGAGTGATTTCCCTGGGCGGCCTTTCATTTACATTCACTGACACAACCCTGCATGCAAGGGTTATATACAACACATGACGTCTTCGTCATTTTGCTTCTCTTTCTTTCACGAGACATACGTGCAAGTGAAAGGTGGGTAGGGCTGAATAACTTTGTTGTCTTCGACTGAGGTGTTCCCTACAATGCTGGTGGGTAAAGGTGCATCATTTATGCCAGACCTAAAACAATTCGATGACCATTCCGGTGGCAGGATATCCGAAAGGCGAGCTCCGGCAATAGGGGGGTTCGAGCAGCCGCGTCACAATAGGCAGGCAATTTCCTGGGCGTCTGGTCTGTCGACGGGTCCATGACGCCGCCCTGTCAATGTCAGTTTCTCGTTCTCTATACCACACCACCTTCACCGTTGATGCGAATCAACCCGGGTCCTCCAAATCAAACTCTTAAGTGAGCGGGTGCCCAGCCGGCCTACGTTTCCAGGATGTCAGAGAGCCTTGGGGTGGGATCGTTAGACGGAGAGTCAGAGGGTTGAACACGTATCTGTATTGTATAAAGCTATCCTTGAGACATCGACTTCTCGCACTGTTGAGGGTCCCTCCAGCAGTGCGAGAATAGAGGTCCTATTTATCTCTTTCTGTGTATACCTATTGGGGGTAGACTTGGCATTGGGGTCCGTCTTGGCGTTAGAGTCCGCCTTCGAGTAGGCCGTCTAGAGTCTCGTTAATATAGGCCTAGAAAGTCGCGAGTGCGTTTATAAGCCCAAAAGGTATAACCGTATACTCGAAGTAGTTATATTATATACGGAACGTAGTCTTCTATT